GCACACACAGAGCGGAGCTGAGCACAAACACACACACACATCATGCGCCCTGGTGACAGGACATCTCCTTCATAAAACTAGTGGGAATACTCTGGTAGTTTGATGTGTGTAGAGGTGTGTGTGGTTAAACGTAGCAGCCTCGATCTCTGTTCGGTTCTAATGAAGGTAAACACAGTGAAGTAAACAGTAAAAGGCAGAGCTCTTTGCAGCTGGTGCTGCTCTTCTCAGATTCTGCTGAGTTACACGTTACTGCCTCCAGTGCCCTGTACGACGAAGCCAGTTCAACAGACCCTGGATATGTTTGATTTACCCGGCTTAACTAACCCTAACAAACGCGATGTCGCTAAGCGGTCATACGAAGCTAGTTATCAAGTCAGTAAATCAACCAGGGTTTCTCTGTCCGGCTGAGAGCGCTTTCACCTGAAAGGGTGAAAGGGTTAGCAACATTTGACCAATCACAAACATGAAGAAGCGTGCTGACAGCGCAGCGTCATACTTCATGAATGAATAGTAATAGCAAATCCTGCTTCGTAGTACAGGCCACTGGTGCCGCAGCGATTTCATAAAGTGAAGGAGGTTTTCATTCTATAAAACAGCTGTGGGCAGCAGATACTGTGAGTCACGGACAGGAATTCATAGATCAAAGCAGACTGGTTAACAGACTCTTCTGTTTTGCGAATCCGGTGCTTAAACAAATAGCTCTAAACCCCTGGCCAAAATGTCCCTAAATGAAGTCCGAGTTTGAAATATATCTCAAATAATGTATGCACCACCATTTCTCCACATAAACATAACAGTCTGCAATGAAACGATTGTCTCCTCTGTGCTCCACTTCCTACTTGGCGCACCGGTAACTTTCTCGTGCGAACGAGACGAGAGTCTAATCTGCGAGCGAGATACTTTTTTTTTCTCTCCATGAACCTTTAGGGGCTCCGTACGTTCCAACACTGTGTATGCTATTACTTCAATCTGTGCAGCTTCAGGAATTAAGGACTCAAAGTAGTAATCATTAAAAAAAAACATGTTAAATAAGCAGAAAGCTGCCCAAATATAAATTGGATCATCAGATTAAAAGAAACCTGCATCATCATGAGTGTTCCATTTCACATATGAGTCTCATGTGACTTGTTAATATCTAAATATTGATTATTGTGGTTGTATTAAAAGGCATGTGAGCTCACCGCAGGTTCTCTGAGCTGAACTCTGACTCGAGGAACTTCAGGAACTGGTCTCGTCCTGCTGGATCTTTCAGCGCCTCCTCTAGAGAAAAGCCCCATTTCTTCACACGCTGCTGGTTGGGGTCACGACTGCTCAGAATAAAACAGATTAGAAAGGATCAGAAAAATAGGTCATTTTTTCCACAGTGTGCAGAGAGCAGAGGCCAGGAAGTCAGAGCACAGTAAACCTTGGGGAAATGTCAGCATTGGTTCTTATTTGAGAAGAGATAGAAACCGACAGATCAACAAAAGTTCATCATCCCCGAGACCTCCGCTCCACCTGACCTCGGGTCTGTTTAAAGCAGGGGTCGGCAGCCCCTGGCACGCGTGCCACCATTAGCACGCGGCACCGTAACCAGTGGCACACTAGGAATAAGTGGAATAAGTGTGCAAAATATTTAAATTATATTTTCGGATCCTGTACGAGACCGCCGCCAGAGCGCGTCTCCCTGTTACCTGCAGAAGGAAGCCATGCACGCAACGCAGCCCCGCTCTCTTTAACTCCAGGCGACTTGCTGCCGCTTTCCTCCGTGGTGCAGTGCTGATCGTTTCACCACAGAGGAAAGCACTTCACTAATTGCAGTACCTAAAGGAGCTGTACAAATACCTGCAGTTTTTGCTTGGCCTGTGTTCTTTAGTTGAAAAGCCCAGTGGCGATCTGCTCATCTCTCATCGAAATAATATGCTACAAAAGGGGCAGACTGGCCATCTGTGTGTCCTCGAGAATCAGAGAACACGAGCGTCGAGCTCCTAACCCCCCCCTGTTGATAATTCACGATCGTCGGCACTCTGATACATTTTTTTTTGTTGTAATGGCACTTCATATCAAAGGTTGCCGACCCCTGGTTCAAAGCATCATCTGCCCACATCCAGCCTTACCTCGCCTCCAGGTCCCAGTAGGACGAGTCGTCACCGATCCAGGGGTTTGAAGGCTCCGTGGCCGACACGAAGGGGTCATATTCCATGAACTGCTCCGTGTAGCTCATCAGACTGTCGGCCACTTTGGAAACCTTCATACAGTGTCTGTCCAGCTGGATGTTCAAGAAGGAAATCTGACGGAGAGGGAGAATAATGAGGGAGCTAAATAAGGTAACAGCTCATCAGTCTGCAGCCCCAAATGTCGTGATGATGGATGGGCGCGGCCGACTGCTGGTAATGACCTCAGGAGAAGGCTCTCACTGATTTACCTCCTTCTGAACGTCCTCTTTGGTGGGCTTCCTGCTCGGCTGGGAGCTGATGTGGACCGGACTCGGCTGGCTCTGGCCGTCATCTGGAACCCCGTAGACCGACTGGAGACAACAAGACGAGAGACATGTTGTTGTTGTTGCTGTGATAAATCATGACAGATGAGGGACTCTGTAATGTAGCTGATGGATGCTAGCGAATAGGTGTATGAGCAGCTAGCATCATGGCCTCAGTATTGTGTCTGGGGACTGGGGGGATTTAAACCACCCAAAGGGGAGTTTATATTGTTCTATTACACACAGATAACACAAGGTGGGTTTGCATTTTAAGCATCATTAGATTGCTTTACATACAAATATTTACACTTTAAAATTAGTAGTACTGTGTGATTTATTGCAAAATCTTTCCAACAGAAAAAAACAAACAAAAATATACTTTGATATTCTTCACAATATATATATATATATGAATTTAGATCAATGGCATTGTCCCAACACAAAAATGTCATGACATATTTGATAAATTAAATACAAATGTGGTAAAATATGTTTTAATGACAATATCTTATACAAATAAAATTATCCTTAGGACTCAGCAAAAACTATGCATACCATTTTTGAATTTTTAAGTATTTAGGGGGGGTCAAATTTACAGTAAATGTTATTGAGAGGTCAAATGAATAAAACAAAGTAATGGGAGTTTTGGTGATTAGTCCAAGAAAACTATTGTGGTCATACTTTGTTTTGTAGCAAACATTTGCTGATGAAACCGTGTTTAAATACTAATTATACTAAGGTAAAATGCTAACCCGTCTCTTACCTTTTTTACCCTGTGTGGGTTCTTCTCTCTCCGGCACTTGCGGATGTCCATCTCTGTCGTGTTGACACAGCCTGGCTGCGCGAGGCGACAGGAGAAAGAGTGTGTTTCAGGGTCAGATAACAATGTTTCTGCTGCATGCATTATCTGCGCCCGTCCTCCTCACACAATATGATGCTGTGTCTCTATTCAGCAATGCTACGCTAACAAAAGGCTTGTATGCAAAGTGACTGGCACCACATCTGATTCTGCTCCCAATGACAAACAGGGCTCTAAACTGAACCATGTGGAGCTGAATCTGCTGTTTTCAGGCTTTAAATGCTAAAATTGTCTTCCAACATAATAGTCTTTTCTTTGTTCATTTGCATTTTTACACAGTGTCCTTTTTCTTTTATTCATAGTGCTAACCCACCACTGGCCGATGGACATCCCAGAATGCCCTCTCCTGGCTGTCCAGGATTTTCCTCTCTGCCTTGTCCTTCTTCCTGTCAATCCTGTCAACAGAGGAAACAGAACACTTAAAAATAGAACATGTTCCTCTGAATTACCAAGTCAAACACAATAAATCAGGCCCCATATTTAAGCCACGCTTATGTAAATACCACTTGCAGCGCAGACTAGGGAGGAAAAGGCTAAAGAGTATAGGTCTTGAACTGTCTGCCGCCTCACTAAGCGATGTCTGGTTTCGCCTCTGTTGGGCCCGATCTATTACATAACGGACATTTACTAATCGACCCTCGCCAGATTATGGTTTGCTCCCCAGGCGTAAGGAGAGTTATTGCCTCCCATATCACCCACACTTGAACTATAGATTTGCCGCTATACAATGACCATTTTTAACACATTTTTCTAGAAGAAGAAGGCTCTTTTCTCACTGAAATGCATGAGATATTAGTGCTGTGTTTACACATGCAAGCCACCAGATGGAAGTCTTGCAAAGAGATAGAAATTAGGCAGAAATGCGTGTGTTTAATTCCATAAGGAGGATGCTTGCTGTATTTAATGCATGAAACCCTGCAGTCAAAGCAGCGCATAAAAACAGTAAATGAAAAAAAGCATTTCCCCTAAGGAAAATGCACACTGTGCAAACTGTTTCCATTCCTTGGGGAAATAACAAATAATGCATGCATCCAAAGGTTAGTATGAATGTAAACCTGATGTCACCAACATCTTTTTATATCCTGCAGTAAGTGTGTCATGTTAGCATGACTCTGAGCTCAGGAGGAAATGGGTTTATACCGACATGTACGCTCTCACATACTCACTTGACTTGAGCCTCAGCTTGCATGAAGATAAATTCCCACTTCCTGGCGAAAGCCCTCTGCAGCCGGGCGAGGTTCTCCTGGTGGAACCAATCAGCACAGCATGAGGGGAGAGGGCTTTTTGAATTCAAGGCCTTAAGATGATTACATTATTCATTCAATGTGATGGCCAGCGCTGACGGCATGGGGCGACTTCTCACTAACGTGTCTCTGAGCGCAAGTTTTTCTAATTGTAATGAAAAGTCTTATTCATAGGCACAAGTACGCTATTGAGCTAATCATTGTACATTTTAGGAAATATTTATTTTTCGCTGTCTTTTGGAGAGTTAAATAAGACGATCGACACCACTTTACCTTCTGTACTGTAAATATGAAGCTACACCGCCAGTAAGCTTAGCATAAAGAGTGGAAACAGGAAACAGCTATCCTGATTCTGCTTAAAGTTTCAAAGGAAAATCTGCTTGCTAACACTTTTAAAGCTAATCAACATTTTATATTTCATTAATTTAATCCTTACAGGGGTTAAAGGTCCCATATCATGCTTTTTCGGTTATTACCCGTCCCCTGGTCCTTGTGTGTTATGTAACTTTTTATGCATGTAAACCGTCTGCAAAGTCACAAACCCTCAAAGTACACCCTGTAGCGAGTAAAACTCTAAGACAGAGAAGACGTGTCTATGCTACTCAAGAACGCCTCGTTGGAGATTTTTCTTTTTCCATTTTTTCCTTCCGGGTCCTATTGACGTAATTAAGTCCAAATGGACCAATTGGTCCAAATGAAACAATCCGCGGAGCTCCGCACACACACTCACTCAGCCTTATCTTTTCTCAGCCGCGGTGCTGCGTGGAGCTCCGTACGCACACACACTCGGAGCTCAGGCTGTGAGTGTGTGCTCAGGCTGAGCTCCGCGGTGTCTCGCAGACCCCACGCAGCAACCAGGAAACGACACCAGTAATCCAGCTCACACTGTCCGCCTCAAAGGGCTAATGATTTATATGTGTACACACATATATCACTTAAATTATTCAATACATCCTCTGTACTGAAGTATTCAAAAGTAAAAATTACATGTTTAATATAAATGATTTGCTGTGGCCAAATGTTTTCATTGCATTTACAGACCCTTGTAACTCTCTCATACCACCCAATGAATGCACTGACTTGCTTGTAGAACCACGCTACACAAAGCAGATAGCAACAACACATATAAAAACTTAAGCATAGACATTTTAAAAAGGGGCTACTGTATCGACATTTTAAAATTATATTTAAAGAAAAGGCCCTGACAAAATAGCAGGGCTCTATTTCAGTAACTATTAACTATAGAAAAAGAGACAGCAACAGCTGACATCAAATCTTTGCTGAGCCTAAGGATAATCATAAATAAATAACATAGTGAAAATAAATATATTGCAATGCTCAAAACAGCAGCATCCAACCGCCTCTAATCATAAAAAAACATAATAAAAATAAATGTATTGCAATGCTCAAAGCAGCAGCATCCAACAGTCTCTAATCCATGTCACTGCATGCATGCACGGAGCAGCTGTAGCGCGGAGATCATCATCATCATTCTGTCTTGTATTACTTAACAAAAAAAAACAACGGCTCGTTCGCGACCGAGACATCACTAGCAGCAGTCAGTTTATAATTTTGGCAGGACTGTTGAGCATTTTGAAAATGTATTTTCATGCCTCTGTTCAAGGCTTAGTCTTTCTATCTGTATAGCCAGTGGTGTAAAGTAACTAAGTTCATAAACTTAACAAGTACTATACTTGGGTACAATTTTGAGATACTTGTACTTTATTAAAGTATTAAAATGTTTTGCTACTTTGTTCTTCTACTCTACAATTCAGAGGTAAAAGGTGTACTTCTATTCCTCTACAATTCAGAGGTAAAAGGTGTACTTTACTCCACTACGTGTATTTAATCCCTTTAGTTACTTTACAGATTTGGATGAATGATGTGAAATCTAATCAAGTGTTAAATCAGACTTTAGTTCCACCTGGAGTAAATTCACAAGCTACCCTGCAGTATACAAAGTCATTCAAACTAGCTGCACCTTTAGCAGCTTTGAGAAAACTTTAATAATCAATCATTATAAAACATATCATATATATTATTCTGAAATGGACCAATCTGCACAATGACTACTTTTACTGTCGCTACTTTCACTATATTTTGATGATAATACTTTTCTACTTTTACTTGAGGAACATTTTGAATGCAGGACTTTTATTGTAACAGAGTATTCCTACACTCTGGTACTACTTTTACTCTAAGATCTGTGTACTTCTACTTCTACTCAAGTACAAGACCTGAGTACTTGTACTTTTACTCAAGTACAAGATCTGAGTACTTCTACTCAAGTTGGTGAAGGCTGAGNTGCCAGGTCTTCCTGCCTCTGCCTCGCTATGCTGCTGCTGCCACTGCTGTGTTCACTTGCTATTGCTGCGTTCATGTTCCTGCTGCTGTGTTTCATGCAACATGAAACACAGCAGCAGGAACATGAACGCAGCAATAGCAAGTGAACACAGCAGTGGCAGCAGCAGCATAGCGAGGCAGAGGCAGGAAGACCTGGCAGTTTAAATAGAGCGGCAGGTTTAGGAGAATGTGTTTGGTTGGTTGTAAGAGGGACGAGGTGCGTCACGTGTTGATGTATCATTGGTGCTCGAGTTGACTGCCTGAACTAGCTCGCAGGCTTCGCCCCATTTATATGTGTATTCCCAAGTGAAAAAAAATCATTTAATCTTAATCTCGATGTAGTGCTATAGTCCTGCCGGAGTGCACCGGAACGAATGACACTATCATAAACACACACACACACACACACACACACACACACTGGCGACCGGACATATTCTTCATAAAACTAATAATATGGCGTAATAATCGGGCAGTTCGATGTGTTTTACCATAAGAAAATATCTCGTGCGAACGAGAAAGTATATCGTGCGCACAAATTAATAAAACGCGGCAACGTTTTATTTTTTTTTCTCTATGAACCCTCCAGGGCTCCGTAGGAACAAAAGGAAGGATGAAAGTTCAGTTTTTGAGGAACTTGTACAGTACCATGTACATTTTGGCACAAGTGCTACTTACACAACAGTCATTGATATACTATATGCATATATGTTTCCTGCTCCTGTAATATATTGTGGAGCAGTCTAAATTATCTAGAACATTTTGTATTGAGTATTCATGTGGTTAATGTACTTTCTACTGTAGATATGTACATATACTTGCTGCTATTTATTGTTTTCATTTGTATTCTAGTTCATTTTATTATGTTGATACTTTATTCCACCTCTAAAGATTTGAAGATTTTAAAGCCTGTACACTTTGCTGCTGAAACAAATAATTTCCCAATTTGGGATCAATAAAAAACCTATCTATCTAACTTAAGTATTTTCATGATCATTTCCATAACGTTATACCTACAAGGAATGAATGTGCTTCTTTGACAGCTATAATTATATTCATTTTCTTACAAATCTTCTTTTTAATAAAGTATAGGCAATTGTTATCAAATGTTAAAAAGTAGCTTAATGCTAAAATTCTAATAACATATTTTCATGCAGCATTACAAAATATAATCATATTTTACTAGTAATAATAATAAAAATACCAATAAGTACTTTTCTACTGCAGACATACACATTTTATGTAGATCATCATTTTAACTGGTACATTTGTACTATACTGCTACATTTACCTTTACTGAGAGTAAGATAAAGTCATCATCAGTGTGAATGTTACCAAATCCACCAGTGCCTTTTATGGACTTTATATCTGTTATATTTCTTGAGGGGAGTTAATAATGAATGCGATGCGGTCGCAGGTTCTGGTTGGCGGTACAGGATCTGAAGCGGCGGCCGCTCCAGGAAGTGTCCTCCAGGGCGCAGGAGATCTGGCAGGAGTTCCTGGCGGAGGGAGCGCCCAGCTCCATCAACCTGGACTCCCACAGCTACGAGCGCACCAGCCAGAACCTCAAAGACCCCGGACGATACAGCTTCGAGGACGCTCAGGTGGGACCAGTTGTTTCTTCCTCGCGGTTGAATGCACATGACTAAACATGTTCACCCAAATAATCTCACCTGTCTGAATACACAACAGAAACACCTGATACAACCAAAACTTCTCTAGTGGAGGAAATCATTATTTGATTCCTTGCAGATTTTTGCCCACTTACAAAGAAATGAACAGTCTATAATGTTAATGGCAGGTTTACTTTCACAGTGAGAGCAATCAAAAAGAAAATCCAGATATTGACATTATATAAAAGATACAAATTCATTTTAATTTAACTGTGGGAAATAAGTATTTGATCCCCTTGCAACAAACAACAAATCTGTCACCCACAGAACGGTTACATAAGTCCTCTTCCTTTGTATTAGAAAAGTACTTATCAACTTGTTCCCTGTATAAAAGACACCTGTCCACGGAATCAATCAATCAGATTCCAACCTCTCCACCATGTAAACTTACAAAATCAAATAATAATTTCCTTAAGTGTAAAAGGCCTCCATAAAGAAAAATAATGAATATACATTTTTATATATGTATACATTCTATTGAAAAGGTCCTTAAATCATCCCTGTTTACAACACACGCCCACACTACACACCATTTCTTTCCTCTCCATCCACTTACCCGCAGAAACATTGAACCCTTCCACCCCACTCATGTTACACAAGTGAATGAATGAAAGGGCGCGCAGAGAGAAGAAGAATGACGGAGTGTGTGTGTGCCAGGCCCTAATGAGGCGAGTAATGCCATGAATAGGTTGTCCGCTCGGCTCACCATGGTTTCCCCTGGTTTGAAGTGGGCTGTGATGCGGACCGCAGGAAATTACTGCCAGTGCACGAGGCCCGCCGTGCACCGACTTTGAAGCACACATGCATCGCATCTCCATGATCAGACCTCCTTTATTACTCTCCACTTCTTTTTTTTCTTCTCCTTTTTTGCTCCCTTTATCCTAGACCAGGGGTGTCCAAACTACCAACTTGAGCTTTTCTTGTATTGTACTTATTAAATATATCTGTGAACATATATTACACAGTATTGTTCATGTGTTAATAAGTCCGATTTACAATACATTCAGTCAATTACATTTGAAAATATGTTCTAACAAATCTAAGTCAGAGATTACAGTAAGAAAAAAGCCCAGTAACTTATACATAACAAACTTGAAATATACGCTTCCTATTTCCTCTTATGATAATCAATCTAGGGCTCCTGTTGTAAGGGATGAGCTGCTAACAAATTAAAGTGGACCTATCATGCTATATTTGAATAATATAGTGTAGGACCATACCTATATAAGGCATATTTATACTTTTTATTTTTCAAAATACCAAACAGATCATGCATTTTAGCCATTCCTCATTTCACTCAATTTAACACTGTCTTTGCATGGGCTGATTCTGTGAGAACAGCACCATCTACAGGCCTGGCATATGTACTACAGCGTCTCCAGCGCTTTCGAACGGCAATGTCCGTGGCTGTCTCCTCCTGATTGGTGGAGTTGGCCCAATAGCCGTAGCGCCACTTCTGTGACGTCATAGAAGTGTTCAAATCTGGATCAGTCTGTATCAGATCCGTTGCAGCCCCTTTTTAAGAGATTTGGGTATGGAGGAAAATAGAGAGGGTTGTGTTTTCTGACACTTGGTGAGTTCCCTGACACACCAGGGACACATATGCATGTATAAAAGATGTACAAAGGTGCATTTTGCATGATAGGTCACCTTTAAATGAAACCCTCTGGAGAGCTGGGATGTAGGCTGTTTATTTTTCTTAAAGCAGATTCAAGTATCAAGCATAAGTGACCTACTTTTGATTGATTTTGCTAACTTATAACTTAACTTATAAGGCAGTATACCTCACCTCTAGTGAGCGGCCCATCCCTTTGAATATTTTCTGTATGTGGCCCTCTGTGAAAAAGGTTTGTACACCCCTGAACTAGACCATCACTTTTTCTCTCTATTGCAGGAGCACATATTCAAGCTAATGAAAAGTGACAGCTATGCACGCTTTCTGCGATCCAACATCTACCAAGACCTCCTGTTAGCCAGAAAGAAGGTGAGCTGCACTCGCTGACCCTGTACATCACCGCTTCTTTTTATAGCAGTTGGCCACTCTTCATATGCTTCATATGGTTTAAATTAGCTAAGAACAACAGAGACTCTAGGACTCAGTCATTTAAATCTATTAAATAGATCTACTGCCTGGAGACTGTTTCATTTAATACATTTCTTATTTTTTACAACATACTATTCTCGGCTTGGGCCTTAAATAACTCAGTCCTGAATTTAGAAATAAATTGTACTTTTCTGTCCACTACATTTATATGACCGTTTTAGTCTCTACTTACTTTGCTGACCTAAATCACATTTGTTGTGCTACGAAGCATTTCTACACTTGTCACTTTTACTTACGTAAAATATCTGAATAGTTCTTCCACATAGTGATAATGTTTATTTGACTTGAAGAGGTCAAAGAATTGCACTCAACACTGACATGTAGCTGGGGCATTTTTATCCTCATCTGACAGCTCATAAAGGCAATCAGCAGTTTGAATCCTAGGCTGAAACAACTAACAGAGCCCTAAGAAGGGAAATCAACTGTGCCCAGATGCAGGTGCAAGGAAACTGATAGATTATGTAAAATGTCAAGAGAACAGTCTCGATAAAAACCTGACATCATATGCCAACAGCACACTGCTGTGTAAAAGAGGAAACACAGTCGTAGTGTAAATAGAAATGAGGCAACATACTGTACATAGAAATGACAGGAAAGCACAGTGTATGAGTTGTTGACAGTGATGGTGATTTTGTTCTTATGTAATTTTCTTTCAACTCCTGTAGGTTAAGGTGTGATTTAAAAAAGACATATGCAGCTAAACAAACGGTTGTATTGTAATATGGAGATTTCAGCAAATCACAGCTGTTCATGCTAGCCTCTCTGCCCCTGTTTGGCTGGCCCGTCACTGACCCCACTCCATTTCCAAAACAAAAAAATTGCATCTCCCACATTGTCCTCGGCCCTCATTTTTGCAATGCTTGGCCCCTTTTTGTCCTTACTAACTACATCACCCCCTGACCATCTCCGTCAACCTGACCCAAACACTCACCCTGCTTCCCCCCCTCCCACAACAGCAGCCAGCAGACACTGAACAGGGCCGCCGCACCTCCCTGGAGAAGTTCACGCGCAGTGTGGTAAGTTAGGGGCTGTTCATATCACCAACCACACTGGCTGCCTCAATATCAGTGGCTGTTGCAGCTTTATAACCATAATACACTCAAGTGTGGCTGTTCATACCTGTGATAGGATGTGTATTTGTGAAACACGTAACATGCTAGTCACATGAATGGTTGCAACTAAACATTTTACATTAAAAGATAGAAAGAAGCACCTTTTCGTAGATGTCTTCTGTCAAACACTGCTTACAGTCTATCAATTTGTTTTAATTGACTTTTCAGGGCAAGTCATTGACGGGAAAGCGCCTGACAGGCCTCATGCAGTCGTCCTGACACAGCCTGTGCTGGAGGGGCACAGCCAGATCCTATCGGAGGGGGGACAGCCACACAGGGGCCGGGGCACAGACAGTGAAGCTGGGCTGGACAGGGCTGCTCCCAGGACTGCTGCTGTACTGGTAGTGCAGCACTGGGCCTGAAGGGGGGGGGGGGACCACTGAAGAAGAGACAATGCTGACAAGAGGAACCTCAGCCAACACTCCACATGGCATGCAGCATACAGTGTAAGCACATTCAGACTAGGGCTGCCCTCTTCTCACCACTTAGATGGCAAACTGGTTGTTAGGCTCTTTGTTGACTGAGTTTATCAGTTTGTATTGTTTTCATTTGGTTTTATATACGTGTTTATTTGGATATTAAAAGCACATTGGTGGTGTCAAAACAATATTCTTTGATAAAAAACAACATTTAAAAGCTATTTGCCACAGCATTTGCCATGAATCGATTATTGGTTTAGTTGTCCTAAAACAGCTGCGGCCAAAGAGGCACATCAACACAAATCTACAATATTTTGCATATGTCTCTACTCACAAGGCAGACAGCAATAAAAAAAACTGAGACACTTTTTATTTTTAAGAAATATATCCTTTTTATATCCTTAGAATTTCTATTATATCTGTTACTTATTAGTCACATGAAGTTGTCAGTTAAAGAGTGAACATAGTTCATACAAACTTGTATTTTTTCCCATAAATTACATTTAACAATGTCTACAAAATAGATGTTTGAAGGTTTAACTTTCCATACTTCATTACATTCCAAAATCTGGCAAAAGGGCTTAATGTAGCATTCACAATGCACCGTTGCATGTTTCATCCAATGTCTTTGTGGAGGATTTCTTGTTTCTACAACAGTGCTTTGTAATGAGACTGAAAGCAAAGATTAACTTAATCTGGGTCAATGAATTTCGAGGCTTCAAGTTACAAACAATTCAGGCTGCACAGGAGAATAAGCAAATTCCAAAAGTCTGTAAATAACTGAGACGTTTGACTTACAAACACGGCCCCCCTGGTTGTGTGAACCACAGTGATTTGAGCTTTTACTCTTCCTTTAGTCACAGTCGTAGTGTGCACAGCCACAAGTGAAGTGTCATCCATGTCCGTTTTGGGGGCTCCTACTATGTGTAGTTTTTACAATTTCCAGTGCCATGGGTCCATCTAGTGGTGGGTAAACCACAGGACCAGCAACATAGTGTTACAATACTGTATTAATTAAACTGTGTTAATCAAGGGACATCATGATGTCAACACTATAACATGTTTTCCAATCATGGAGATATTCCAAGGCCTGCTCCCAATATGGGATCATATTAGTTTTGTTCTTTTTCTTATTAAATGCATGAATATCTCGCCTTTTTGTTTGGTAAAAAAAAATAATAATCCTGCCCATCTTAGTTTGGCAACATGTATGCCGAGACTCATTTAATAATTATCTTTTGTTTAAATGACTATTGGGAATATGGTGCATGTTATTGGACTGTAATGAAGATAGGGTAAGATGGTGCGACTCTCCAAAGGCACAGAGTCGAGGAAAAGCCCTCAACTGGAGCAACAATCCTCAGTTGACGAAAATGAAAGGCGTGAAATGCATCTGGGACGATGTTGCACATGTAATGGCTGTAACGGCTCAACTGATGGCTGCAAACTGATTGAGAAGATGTCCTACAGCGCCCCCATGAGGCCAGTGACTGCTGCAGTGGCAGTGCTGAATGAATGAATCACTTATTACTTTCTATTTAAGTTGTTGCAATGCACTGTACAGGCCATATTAATAATCATCATAAACCAATAACCTCTTGATTATAAGGTAGAGAGAAATGCTTCAAGAGACGATGTACCAAATGTTATTCTCAGCACAAGCACAATGACTACAGGGTGCATTGTAGATGTAAATTGGCTAAATTTCATTATCCTAAAGCACAATTTATTATGATATGGGCACATTACTATGCATGTAACATATTCAGGGCATTTTGTGCTTTTAGTTTCTCAATCAGCAAGATGACTACTGGCACTCTAAAACACTCAAGCACCTGCTGTTTATTCATGGGTACCAAATAATAAAACTCTGGACCTGTCTCCTGTGTTTTGTTTGTGTTGGCTGTTCTGTGTTTAAAAATATATAATGTAGTATGTCCAACATTTCAGAAAATAAATCATAGAATAGTATATCGAAAAAAACGACATAGTGTATGTTGAAAATATCAGAAAAAAGGCATAGTATAGTATGTGTCAATAGCAGTTTGGACACACCTTCTCATTCAATGGTTTTTGTTTATTTATTAATTTGTTCTACTTTGTAGATGAATACTGAAGACATCAAAACTATTAAAAAAACACATGGAATTATCTAGCTAACAAAAAAGTGTAAAAAAATCCAGAATATGATTTTTATTTTAGATTCTTCAAAGTAGCCTCCTTTGGCCTTGATGACAGCTTTGCACACTGCAGAGGTAAGGTTAGTGCACAGTGGAAAGCCCAATTTGAATACTGTTGTAATCCATATTATGGCAAGAACGACTCAACTCAGTAAAGAGAAACGACCGTCGAAAGAAATGAATGTATCTAATAATAATAGAAATAATATATAATATAATAATATAATTAATAATATAATAATAGTAATATACCTGTATGTATGTTTGAATGTATCCTCAAGTACAGTCGCAAAAACGCTATGATGAAACTGGCTCTCATGTTCCCCCCCGGGGAAGGAAGCGCAAGAGACACCTCTGCTGCAGAGGATGATCAGAGTTACCAGCCTATTAGAGCCCACATCATTCAATGATCACAGAGCTCAAGTAGCAGACAAATCTCAACATCCACTGTTCAGGGTAGACTGCCTGAATCAGGCCTTCATGGTCCAACTGCTGCAAAGAAGCCACTACTGAGGATGAACAACAAGAAGAGAATTTTTTGGGCAAAGAAACACAAGGATTGGACATTAGAAAGTGGATATCTGTACTTTGGTCTGATGAGTCCACATTTGAGATGTTCCAACCGCTGTCTTTGTGAGACGCAGAGAAGGTGAGCGGATGGTTTCTGCGTGTGGTTCCCACCGTGACGCATGGAGGAGGAAGTGTGGGGGTGTGTGGGGGCTTTGCTGGTGACACTGTTGGTGATTTATTCAAAATTCAAGTCACACTTAACCAGCAAGACTACCACAGCATTCTGCAGTAGCCAACAAAATATAAAATCATATTCTGGATTTTTAACACTTTTTTGTTTAGTAGATAATCCCATATGTGTTCTTTTATAGTTTTGATGTCTTCAGTATAAATCTACAATGTAGAAAGAATACAAATAAATAAAAATATTTGAATGAGAAGGTGTCCAAACTTTTGACTGGTAGTATATATGTCAATAATATTAGTTAAAAAGTCATAGTAGCCTATAGTATGTAGAACATATCAGTAAACAAAAACATAGTATATAGTATGTCCAACATCTCGAAAAAATATATAGCATAAACATAGTAGGCTATAGCATGTCGAAGTATATAGTGTATGAAAAAGGTATTCTCGAAAAAGAATATCATAGCAATAGCATAGTATGTAAAAATTTTTTTATCATTGTATGAAATAAAATAAACATTAAATGTAATTTAGGATAAAATGTGATTGTAAAATCATATTTTACTATGATTTTACAATCATAGTAAAATATGCTAGAAAAATGTCATTCATATTATAGTCTCCCATAACACATGTCATGGCATTTTGAGAGGTCATAAAATAGTATGCCATAAACAAATGCATAACAAAACATAATATAGAACGCCATTTAAAATAAGTCACACATACATCCAGAAATGGATTAGAATATGCTGTCTGGTGAATACAAATACTCATATATAAAAGAATGTACATATGTTGGCATAATATTGTACCTTGCTTGTTATAATGTTATTCTTGAATCACAGCTAGTCTCTTTAGGAGGTCGTCACATTGACCTTTATGGGTTTCTTGCTCCTGTGTAAATATTACTGCCACTCTATAATAAAGTCATATTTAATAGAATCTGCTCACATAACACTAAAGCAGTTCTTCCCTTAAATCATTTTTAAGACTACAAACCTTTCTATTTTATACCTGCAGTTAACATTGAGATATTATTAGATCTTACTATATTTGCTTGGAGTAAGTATCTCTCTGAAGGCAGACTATGGCTCATATATTACTTCTACCGACTGAATCGTGACTTCTCCAGCAGCACCTACGGATCAATAAGAGCCCCTGTGCTGGACTCCTTGTTTGTGCCTCAGCTCTCACAAACTCAAGTGCTTTTTTCCTTTCTGTCTGCTCACAGATTCTGAGGGTCACTCCAACCTATCGATCCAGTCTAGGATTCTTCCGCTTATCAGCTGCACTTCCTAAATGACCCTTGGTCTTTCTCAGAAAACCAGCACAGAGCGTTATCATTCATTCTTTATTTTTTCAGAACAATAAAAATAGTTTAACAAACAAAGACTTCTTCATTCTCTCCGTTTCGACTCGTATTTACAGCTGAAGATGAAACAAACGCCCAGTCATGTCCATTTCATCTCCTCTTGGCTCCGTTCCCACCCTGATCCTCCCTCTTCAGCCGGAGCACCAGGGCCTATTGCTGTGTCTTTGACGAGGTATACGGGCTATTCAATGATTGGTGACTTGTATTTCCAAGCCGACATCACTGACTTTTGCATTTAGGAGCTTCTCCTTTTGTTCAGAACTGCACCACACTCGTCCTGTTCATATACGGTAGGTAACATTAAGCAGATTATGATTTATGAACACATGCTTTCACTTTTACTGGCATGACTTTGGAAGATAAAAAGACACAATGACCCATTTCAACTGTGGAAACACCACATAACTGACACAAGAGAAGAGATAACGTCAGATCCTTTCTTTGTCCAGAGGAGATACACTGTTGTGTGGAGGGTCCCTGAGGGAAGTGGAGAAAGATGGTTTGAATGCACGAGCACTTACGCAAGTCACAATGGACACATAGGACCAATGGTTCGCTTAAAAAAAATGGAGCGGCTATTAAAACATTGCAGCGATACTGAATAATCACTTGGAAGGACACAGACCTCTTACACAGTGTGTGCAACCTAGGGACCTAAAAGGCTTTTTGATACAGCACTGCAAGCACCTTCTAAATGTCATAAAGCAATTAGGCCCTCTCAAGCACTCAACGGAAATGTCACATAACTTGGATTTACGGTTTTCACTCGCTATGATCCGAGCTGAGTAATGTCCCTCTAGCAACAATAATGTATTTCAATTCATCTGAGGAACGATTCTCACTGCTGTCACAATCTGCTGAGACTGTTGATATCAATCAGAAAAGAGGTTTTGCATGGTGAGTGACGACAGGTAAAATCAGTAGAGAGCAGTCAAGTTGAAGCATGTTATTGGGATTATTTCTGTAAAGCATGACACTGCAGCATCCCGGGAGGTGATCACGATGGGATCATCTTTGTGTGGCCTTATTGTCCTTCCATGCCAACTGAATACAATCACATACATCAGGGCAGAGTGGCTGAACAATCAACAGCAGAGGAAATGAAAGATGCCTGAGTAGTTGTGGCTATTGTGCACCTGATCAGGACAGAGGTATCAATACAGTCTGAACAAACCCCAGAAGTCATTCTAATCAAACTTTAAAGAATTCAAAACATAGAAATAGTATACAACAGAGAAAAGATGAAAATAAAAAGAAGCTAAATTATTGAGAATGAGATTGGAGAAGGCCCAGGAAATATAGAGCAACAAGAGGCAGAAAGATTAGAAACCTTAGCGTCCATGTCAGGGTATTAATACAGTAGTCCAGAGGTCTGCATGTAATAGTGGTGGATTTGAGCACCATGTCTATGGCTGGGGGGGGGGGGTCAGGGGGTCACTGGTCCAATCAGGTTGGAGGGTCATGGCTGTCAGAGCTGGTTTCCAGTGCAGAGCGGCAGGCTGGCACAGTGATGAGGATAATGACGTCTTAGTGTCACATGGGAACACACGGCAGACACAGAGGGGGGCGGGGACTCGGCTGGGCCCCAGATGCACCCGCAGTCCAGAGGCCGGGCCTTTAGTGTTCCCATAGCTCAGTGGAGCTCCAGCACAGTGCAGGAAAAGGATGAAATGAAGCTGGAACTACTCGCATTTCAAATTTCCAGAAGGATCGATACATATGGTCAAGGGAGCAGTTGCTTTAATTGAGCCACATGGCCTGTAGAAGTGCCGGATGTCTGTTCACATGATTCAGTCAGTTATTGTAGGCCCAAATATGAAGGGACACCGGGGCTCATTAGTTTTCTCCAGAGTTAAACCGTCTTCTTCACTGGTCACCCCCGCCTCTGGGCCACAAGCCAATGTGCTGAGTGCTCCTGCAGTATAGAACAGACAATATGGGTAAGAAACACACTTAATATGTCTGGACAAGATTTTACCAACAGCTCTCGCCTAAGCACCAAAGGGCTTTGAGCTAAATGCTAACAGCAGCATGCTCACTATGACAACGTTAGCACTAAACACTAAGCACAGCTGAAGCCCTAGGTGTTATGCTGCCGAAGGTGATTATAGATCAGCAGGTGTGAAGATTACATAGCGCTGAAAGAGCAGAGCCAATCACAGTTAACCACGATAACGACAGCTCAGCAAACTGAAAACTTGACATTATGTCTGAATGGTAACCTGAGTCTCAACATGACAACGAATGAACACCAAGAGTGACAACGGTGAGCTACTTTAAAGCAGCTTTAAGTTGTTGTTTTTTTAGCAGCTAGTGTGATGAGACAAGACAACAAGATCAACAAATATACAACAATGTTTTTAGACATATCCACTGATCAAACACATGCAGGGTTTCCTATATTTCTAACGAGATAAAACAACCCAGTTCCTTACCTTTCATATGTTGATGTCCTCTGTATCTGTAAGACTATATTTTAAAGGATTCTTCTTCTGCAAACATCTCCAGTGGCCGGTAGCAATCCGTTTATTGGTTCCTTCATTTTCACACAAGTTTAATCCAGAGTTAGAGCAAAGCTGAGACCTTCAAAGTCACACTACTGATTCAAAACACCCAGTAGCTCAAGTACGGGTCTGCAATGACATTCAGTCATTTCCCCAAACGTAATGTAAATCATTTAAGCTTTTACATTTTTCACTTGTTCAAATTCTCCAGTGTTTTTTGTTTTTGTTCACAACGTGTGTTCTGCTCCAGTGAAGGGGAAAAAGAGCCCTCCAAATCTTCAGTTTTGCATGGAGACACTTGTCCAGAAACACTGACAGTCGTTCATAGCCTTGAAAGTTAATATATATTTATATATAAAAAGGTGTTCATAAATTATTCAACAATGTTCAGTAGATAAAATACCACTTGCATTTCGGTCCTGAAATGACCACTTTGTGCTTTCTGCAAACAAAAAAACATTGAAAAAGAAGCAGCAGGTTTTTGCCAGAGGTTAATCCATATAAAAAAAGTGTCTCTTCGAATTCTGAAATGTTCTCTCTATCTGTGTCGCTTTGATATTCCATTGCTGTTTGTGGCGGGCTCTTCCAGGTCGTCGTCCTCGAAGCCGTGAAAGGTGGAGGTGTCGCTCTCCGAGGTGGTGCCGAACAGCTCCTCCGCTCCAGTGAAAGTCCCGTCTTCCTTCTCTGCTCCGCGGTCAGCTGGCACACAGAGGAACACAGTCAGTGCACAGGGGACGGATAACAAGCGGCCATCATGAGGCAAGAGTATCCCTCTCTTCCCAGCATACTGTGGGGTACTCACTTTTGCATTGGCAGGTTGAGTAGGGGGACCCGGATTTACCCGTTTTCTTGATGGAGCCCTGGCATTTATTACAGTAGTTGTTGGGAATGCTGGTCCCACTTGGACCCTTTGGACCTACAAGGAAAAAACATGTAGTTTTAGACAGTTGATGTTCACCGATGCACTGATTACAATGTCAAACTTTTCACAACAATACTTTTGTTCTGTTTGTTTTACAAAAGTAATACTTTTGAATCTTACTAACTCAATATAAACTTTGTGCAAACAACATTTTTCATTTAACAAAGAATGTCAATTTCAGTGTTAATCCCATTCAATGTTGAACAGCTGATGGGATGCTGACATTTTAAAAAGGGAGCACCTGTTGCTCTGACTTTAGATCCAAAATATTCCTTTATTTGAACTTTATATTACCATTCATGGTCTTTTCTTCTAAGTATGCCAATGCGAGAAGTCTATATGGATTCTTTTGTCCTGTATTCTACCGGTTCGATCTTTTTGATTTGTTATTTATATGGACATGCTTTAACTAAGTTTGTATAAATGTATTTTTTTTTCTCGTAGGATCTAGAACATAAGAAGCAAAATGTCCCCCAAAAACTCAAGAGTCAGACTTACATATGAAAGAGCAATCAGCACTAACTTCTTGCATTAGGCAATATATACTGTATCTATATATTTCAAGACTGACAGTCAGCACAGCCTTGGATTAATCTAATGGGACATACATACAGTACATATGGTATGTAATGGTGAGCGGTAGTTAGTTTTATATCAGGAGCAGCAGTTTGACTCCTTACGTTTGTGTCTGTCAGTCTGTTGTGCAGCGGGAGATTTCGACGCCACGGAGCTCCTCTCCCCCGCCCTGCCCTCCTCTGCCAGGTGGGAATTGGTGTAGTGGTAGCTGAGCCCTGTACGGTTCCTGTAGCGCTTGTTTGCACACACTGCGACACAGGGCAGATGTTCAGTCAAACTACTGCAACTGTTTGCATTTCAGCATCTAAAAATAACTGCTTCACAGCATTTCTAAATGTAGGTTTAGTATTTAAGATAAAGGCGTCAATGTGCTGTAGTGAAAATGAGAAATTCACAAAAGTATAGTTAAACACCCACTAAGTGTCTGATGAGCTTAGAATACCTTGTAAAGTAGCGTAACCAACAATATCTACAGGCACTAAATGCAGAGCAGCATGGTACCTATTCCACTTCTGACTCCACACATGGAATAAGCACACTAGGATATGATTACAATAATCATTAAACACAGACACCATAACCATCGTGTCTGAAATCCCAGACCAGACAAGGGGCTAAAAAAAACAACCTCACAGCACTAACGTTTCTACAGCTCAACAAACTAACAAAACCGATATCCAGATAAACTTTTAAAAAGAGATACCTGCTGCCGAAGACTTTGAGTTCTGCTTCTGTTTGTATCTGTCTGAAACGGAGAAGACACAAGGCAGATAGGAGACAGAATACAGCATGAGTATGTGTCTTTAAAGTAGAGACAAAACATCCAATACCCTCTACCTGGAGTTTCCACATTCAACTTGCACGTACAGGATTACAAGAGACCACAGTGACCCTTCACCTTCATCCTGAGGTTCAAAACTGTTGGCTATTGAGTTACAGTGGGTCGACTTTATGACAACAGTGACACAAGTAACATTATTGGCTATTTTTAATAACTACAAATATATATATATAAGATTTTTCAATCCTGTGTTACATTCCTGTTGGATCAGCAGACGAGCAGATAACACATATTGTTATGAATTCATCTCTACTTACTGTCACAGACGTATGGCTTGTCTTCATCCACTTCTGCCTTCTTGCGGCCTGAACCCCGACCCTGATGAAAAACATCCAGATACTTTCACTATCTGCAATTAAATGCATGTTCAGAGCTTTCCTACATATGATATCAGCACCACAGGTCCTTATACAGCAGACACGTTTTTTAAGATAATACAATTCTTCTTAAACGAACAATCTACAATGCTATGTAAATGTAAGCGCAGGACACCCAGTGTATTGTGGGTACTTACTCTTCCTTTGCCCCGATGTCTTTTCTTGGGAGCGTCCACCACAAAGTCGTCATCTTCATTAAAAGCATCTTCTGCTGCGTCGGCCTCCAGGACCCTCTGAGACAAAGAGAAAGACAAGACCGTTTTTAAACTCCGCTTTGATTATAGCACCAGGTTGCTAAAAAAAAACACTTAGCAGCAACAGGAAAGAAATGTAGCATTTGTTTAGTTCTCAAGATAATTGAGATGTTCCTGACAATGCTCACAGGTCCTACAGAACTTAAAGGTCCTTTAATTTTTTAGGTTCTCGTTGCCCTTTTTGGGATTAAGTTATTATTATTATTATCTACAGTATAATAATGGGAATTTAAAGTTGAAGCTGTCAGCTAATCAGACCTAGAAGTCAGACGGAAAAACTGGGCATGTTGCCTTGACAACCAGTTGGGGAGCAACTCCAGTCCCCCCCCAATCACTTGAGCGATATCACTGCACATACTTTAAACAGGAGTGTATCCCACCTGGATCTCCAGCAGGCTGTCCTCGTCGTTCTTAGAGCTGTTCCTCTTCTCTAGCCCCCCTCCTCGCAGCAGAGCCTCCAGCGTGGTGCTCTGGGCGGGCAGGCTATCCTTGGACATGATGCCGCCTTCTGCACGGAGACAAAAAAAAGGTACATTTGATGAGGCATTTGTAGTCTAACAAAATCCAATCAGTTCACCCCTGAGTCTAATTGGATATTTGTGCCACAATTTAAGAAATTCCCTCAAGGATTTCGTGAGATATCGCTTTAAGAGTTTGGGATGTTTGACGGACAAACTGAAAACATAGGGCGTCTCGCCATGGCTGTTGCTAAGGCATAAAGAACCACAGGCATATAATCATAGCAGTAGAGCGTGTATATTGCTCAAAATCCCTTCAAGAACTTGTTATTATTATTGTTATTATTATTATTATTATGATGAGAAGAGGCATCCGAGCTACAGTGTCTGACCTGTGTGAGGAGCTTTTTAATCAACATATTTCCATGCATCTTTCCCCTTTCACTCACACTAGACTTAATAAAAGCATGTGGCAATTTGCTGGAGCCTTTGTTCGCTTGAGTGCCTGTCATCTTTCTTTGCCTCCTCAGAATGTGTCATCACAACTATTTACAGAGCACTATATTCCTGAAAATGTATGTTTTCCTTCTGAAAGAAACTGCATTGTCATTGAGCTCTTAATGATGTGGCACTATGCAGACACCAGGCTGACTTTGTCCTCAGGAATCTCTGAGGTACAATGTAGTTAAGTGGCTTATCGTCTTAACCTGAAAACATCATGCAGATATCTCTGCCTACATTATAGCGGAAGACCCAAACAAACAGTGTAGGAGGCGAGCAGGTTGAGCAGACAAAGCAGAGCAAACAAAAGCTTTGACAGTCTGCAGATCTTATTTACACAATCTCTCCTCTACAGACGGCTACATGATCATCCAGTCGCTTTGCGGGTGTTTGAAAACAGGGCACACTTCAAAGCCCCCTGACTCCAGCTTTCTATCAGCCCTTCATCTCACCACTGGGCCCACGAGAGAGACTTTAGCAGAATATTAAGCATGAAGTGCTGAGGCGACAGAAGCCTGCATAGGTAAGAGGCACAACACGCTCCACTTCAACGGGCGCCTCCACCACGCGGCGGCAGCCCCTCACCATTGTGTCTGCACACGTTGACTTTCAACTCTCCGCGACGAGACAGACGACCCCCCCCACCCCTTCTCCCCTCCCTCCCAACCCATGGGAGCTGGGGGGCTAAAAATAGAGCCGGCAGCAGCCTGCAGCAGCGAGCTGATTCCGCATGCAGCCCCCGTCTCTAGCACGGCATCAGTGAGACACACTGTGGCTGCGGCCCTGTGCCAGCCACCTCTGGCCAGCTGCACAGCGGATAAGAGATGCCAGGTTAAATCAGGGTACGCTTCCCCTCGGCTGCGCACTGGCAGACAGCGCACTCCACTGTTGCTGGAGAAGGGAAGGGACAGCATGATGGTGGTGTTGGGGTCCAGCGTAGGCTCGGAGGAAAACAATGGTCTACAGTGGGATGTGTTTGGGAAACAAAGGCTTGGTTCATATTCCATTTTGGTTTCTCTTCGTAGGCCTGCTCCTTTTTCTGACAACTTCTCCACAATGCAATGCAGAAATAAATAGTTTGTGATCGTTGAGATTTCTGTCAATACACAATGGATTTCTGTGTTTTTGTAGAAACTACTGATAGACTCAATGTTTTCTGTGTGAGATTCTCTCCTTTGTCCTGTTCATTCCTAAGGGTAGTGTGACATCCCAGTGGGTATGCACGCTTTAAGGCACAGAATGGGCCAGTTACTTGAGATCATTGGCTAGAAAAACACTCGCAGACTGCATGGCAGACTACAGGGAGGGATGAATGAGTTTGTCAGAGGAAAAAAGGGACAAAACCAATCAGCGAGGGAGGTGTCAAGGAGAAAATACGATAGAGAGGAGAGGGGAGATGTGTTGAGTGATTGGTTTCAAGTGGCAGCCAGAGATGGCCAAACTTCATTCCATAACATTTATTAAATAGTGTCTGCAGTGGTCGAACTCCGTCTCGCTGTTCCCAGCAGCGGTAAATCTAATTACATGTTCTCCTTCTCACAAAACAAGTTTACCAGCCGGGGTGAACACAGCCACATTTCATCCCCTGAAAAATGACTGCGCGCTGAGACAGAGTGATATGCTTTTAGCCAGATGATTCCACATCATCACCAGTAATCACATGAGCTAAAGGAGGCGGGTGGGAAGGCAGGCGAACGAGAGGGAGGAGAGACTAAAGGGAGCAGGAAGTAACGGGCAGGTGGTCTGTGGAGGAGAGGCTGCAGGATCTTACCGATCTTCAGACCGTAGATGCCCAGGCCGGGGTCCGTGGCGTTGTGCAGCCGTCTCTTCTTTCTCCAGCAACGGGCGGGGTATGTGTACATCTGCCCGGCTGCGACCCCTGTATAATAAAAGCAGTAAAACACATTGATAATAAAAAATACCTTCTGATGTAGGAACACCGGATTACACTTTACAGATTTCTGAGATTAATATACTCAACATTAGTAACTGTAAAACTATTATATGATTCACCAATCTGTTTTGTATCATTTTTGGACTGAATATATTCCAGGTTTAGACTGTTAACCAAAAAAAAGGCAGTTTGAAAATGTCACCATGGGATGTGTTCAAATCATGAAAGGCATTTCTCGCTCTTTTCTGAAAGTGTTTAAACTAAATGATTCACCGATTAACGAAAACTGATTCACAATAAAGAAAATAATGTTAACAGCTTTAGATAATGAAGACACAGACAGCAATTCTGCAAGCTTAATGGACTAAAACACTTAAACAGTATCTCTGTGTGTGTGTGTGTGTGTGTGTGTGTGTGTGTGTGTGTGTGTGTGTGTGTGTGTGTGTGTGTGTGTGTGTGTGTGTGTGTGTGTGTGTGTGTGTGTGTGTTTACCCACCGGGGCTGCGGTGGTGTCGCTCCATCCAGATGTAGCAGTTGTTCTGGGCCACGCCGGTTTGTGAGTCCAGAAATGGCAGGCGGACGCTGCGTTCAGCGCACAGGCGAGCATTGTAGCTGCGGCACTGCTCGATGGCGTCCTTGTAGAACTGGTCGCCCAACCTGAGGAGGGAAACGTTATCAGCATAGGTCAGTGACACTGCACGATGTGGCAGCTGGCTGGAAGACGACCTTAATGTGATCACATTTGCAGAATCTCTGATATGGAGATGAGGTTTTGTATCATGTAGTATGAATGCCTTGATAATAGCCTGTTCTCTTGCTGGCTGCGGATTATTAAATCACTGAGCTGAGGCAGCTACAAGATTTGTATCCCTCAGAAACTCTTCACAGCCATAATAATGCTGTTAATGTCTGCTCAAACATCTAATCAGCGTTGTGCATTGTGAGTCTCAAACTGACAGCTGAGCTTCTCTCTCCTCTTCCAGCTTGCTATCGGGAAGAATTTGAGGAAAGGGGAAAACAATGCAACCCAGTTACAACACAGATCCGGCTCCCGAGGTTAAACACATTACCTCTGTGGGCTCTTTGTCTGATCTGATTTTAGATTTGAGCTACGGCAGAGTTGACTCAGTTACATTATTACAACAACGCTGAATCCAGGCTCTGATATGAAGTTACTCCTCTGATGTACAAGCAGCTAAGACTCTCACACTTTAGTTCCACTTTTTATAGCACCACTGAGATTTTGGCAGTCCCTCAGGGTTTAAATGTTAATATTCAGAGTGAAATGGGGGAGGATATTTCACATTCAAGCCCTCAATCGCTGCCACACGCCTAGTATGGTAATTAGCCTACTTAATTAATCTCAGCAGAGTGCCTAGCACAAGGGCAGGTTCTAATTTGACTATATCAAAGATGGGGGTAAATGCTGCGACTCTGAAATCACGGCAAGGTACTTTGTATGTGACTTTCAGTCTGCTGCTATATCAAAGGGGCAACAGGGCACATTAAAGCTACTGGTTCTCCTAGTATGAACCTCTCTCGCATAATGAAGTTCCTCCACGTGTTCTCAATTACAACATTAGGAAGACGGCCATTTTGGAATGAAACTAATGAGCAGCAGTCTGCGAGTGGAGCCTGGAATCGTAAACTAGAGGTGGAGGAGGTGGGAGCCTGATTCGTCAGCGTCTTCCAGATCTCTCTCCGTCTCTGCCCCTAACCCTTGATGAGACAACGTCCAGCAGATGAACAGCCGTGTCAGGAATGCTGTCCCGCACAAAAGCCCACTGCTCCGCGGCTCAGACAAAAGCCACAGTGTGTGAGGCTTCTGGGAAAGAGAGGGCTTCGTGTCTGTGTAACTGAGAAGAGTAAACAGTTACAGGTACAGAGCGAGGGCAGGGATCAGTGGAAAGGTGTGAGAAAGAGAAAAAAACAGATGACGGAAAGCGGAAAAATAAAAAACAACTGGGTTCGAGAAGGGAAAATGGTGAGAAAAGGAGGTTAAATGCGAACATCAGATCATGACTAACGACTATGGGACTTTTCCTTCCTCGTGTAACAATCACACTGAGGCTGTACGTACTATAATATCACTATTACTCTTTGTCTTGCAAAGATGTCACATACAGTAGTGTTTCTTAGTGCATGCAAAACACTATTTCTGAGATGAACCAGCTTTTCTCACCCTTCAAGATACAGGAATGTTTACGAGGGGAATCACACAGGGATATACTCAAAACAGATTGGCCACAAAGCTGAAAATACAAGATCAGAGGTTTGACACCTTTAGCAGTAGCTTGCTCGAGGATTTCTTTTAAAGATAAGTATTTGGCCCATAAAAAATAATAACAAACAGCTGTGTAATAACACAGATCTCAGACTAGTACCACATGTGTGCTGTCGTTTCAAACAGTAACTCAAACTGACCTGTTTTCTTTACTACAATGCCTGGATAATATGGAGCAGATCAGCTGTTGAAGGGGCCCCATTATGCTCATTTTCAGGTTTCATAATCGTATGTAGTGTCTGTGACATGTTTACATGTTCAGAAAGCGCTTTATTTTTCTCATGCTGCAGCACCGTTTTCACCCTCTGTCTGAAACCAGAGCCCAGTCTGCTCTGATTGGTTAGCTGGCAGGGTCTGTTGTGATTGGTCAACCGCTTAGACTAACTAAAATCAAGGCATTTCAGGCAGGGGAGTGTGTGGGAGAGAAACTCCCTGTGGCATGAACTTTGAGGTTTAAATGCACACAAACCTATAACACACTAAAGAAAAGGGGAAAAAACACAAAAAGCATATTAGAGCCTTTTAATGCTCCCTGAAGTCAGCTACGAGTGCATGCTTCATAGGTACACTCACTCCGGAGATTACTTGAGTTAAACAAACCAAGTCGGGAGGCTAACCGTGAAACATGCAGGGAGGGTCGGAGGGGACTGGCGAGGGAGAACACATAATAAGTGGCGGAAGTGTTCTGGTGGGTGCTGCATGGACACGCTCTCTATCAGGGCCCGCTGCCCCGAGCAGCAGGTGCACTGGCTATGGTGAGAGATCTTTCTCACACTTGTAATGAGTGACGAGACCCACACCTCCAGTGACACAGGAGGGGGATTGTGTCACACTAACAAACACACACAGACAGACCACTCCAATCAGTACACAACTTCTCCAATTCTGTCATGTTTCAAAGGTTCTATTTTTCACTGTCCTTTGACATTCATGGCACTTAAGAGCTAACAAATATATCTCTAAAAAAGTAGTAAGACGTGTAAAAAAAACATTGGCAACCTGACAATAATAAAAAGGTACTAGCTCTTACTCAGAAGAGAATACTAAAAAGGCACACAGCTAAATTATTACACTTGTCAGTTGTGAACATCATGGTTTACAGAACAGCTTCCTGGTTTACTTTGACCTATCGTACTCTTGACAGATGCGGGACCACCGTTTCCTGTACAGATTATAGCCAACACCTCAAGTGAACTCACTTTCATTTTCATCTTTAAATACAGTGGTTTGGATCAGTGGTTCTCAAACTTTTTAGCCCCACAAAAAGGCAATAGATTTGCTTTTACTTATCATTATGAAGTGAATGTCTATTATACAATGTAATGGCTTTAGAATAATGATACCATTAGCATTGAAATCGGTCTCCTATAAGGCCTCGCTTAACAATGCAATTCTGTCTTCCTCCAGGCTGTAAGCTCCCTATCACAACATAAGCCCTAGACATGTAAACTGCATCCCTGCCTACTAGAGATCATTTCGCCAAGAGGTAACTGCGTAAGACAGAGGAGGCAATAAAACAGAAGAGGGAGAGTGATAAGAAAATATGTTTTATTTTCTACTATGCTAGATAAGTATGTAACAAAACCTGCATTCTTAAATACTACTGGGTGTTTTACTGCCTTTATCATAGCACTGAGATCTGGTTTGAAGTCCTTCTGGGTTTTTTCAGTTGCGTCTGACGTTGGACAGCAGCTCTTAGCCAGGGCAGTCATGTTGCTTACAATATATGAATAGTAGATCAATCTTCTTGCTCGTATGAAGGTCAACAGACAGAACATGTTTCAGTCGCGAAACATGGTCCTATCCAACATCTACTTGTAAACTGTCATCCCATTACATTTTTATAACCCACAAGAGGTAAAGCAATCAAGTAATTTAAAAAGGGAAAAAGGAAAGATTTAAGGAAATTAGAGGAATAATTAGAAGGACATTATGCAGCATAAATATATCTGCTTTGCAGCTATGCTTATTAACGCCACAACTGTATCTTTTAACTGGCAGAGGAGACTAGGCCCCCACATTTTAAGCCACTGGTTTAGATAATCTGCTATCTTGTGTACAAACAACAAAGACTGATTGCTTGGCAGATCATTACTAACACTGTTGGACATTTTTGTTTTGGTTTCCTTTGTTCCCAAGATCTTAGTTATTAGTTTTGAGAATCCAGTTCCACCAAAACTGATGGAAATGACACAACAAATATAAGACCAAGTCTGAAAGAAACTATAATTAATAATTATCCTTTGAAGTCCAGCAATGCCTAAAAGTGGAAACATTGTGTGGAGTCCAACTGAACTAGGACATGTGCATTTCAGGGCTTAAGAAGGTGCCTCAGAGGTATGTGCTACACATCCCCAATATCTTCCAGTCGAGTAGAGAAGGCGAGTGTGTGCATGAGGGCGAGGAACAAAAGCAAATCTTGTGGCCAGTACGGCCTCTGCTATCAGCGTGTTCCTGTCAACGGTTCGCTGTGTCACACGGCTGCGTCCGTAATGTGAGCATGTGTCAACACTCATTTTGCATATCTGACGACAAAGTTTTGCAGGGGGAGCAGTTTGCAGAGGAAAAGCGATCATGACAGTCGTGACAAAAACTCCGGTGTCAACATTAAAATGGATCTGAATGACATTAAGAATAAACGAGACCAGAAACCTAATCTAAAAACACAACTTCAGAGCCTTTTGTCTGGGAGGTTTCTTATATTTGCAGGTGCACTGCTCCTTCACAGGAAGCTAGAGCTACCACATAACAAGGGGGGGG